ATACCACAGATCATATAAACTATACTAGTAATCATACATACAATTATAATGAAATCCCTAGCTATACTCGTACTAACTACATTGCAGGAGTCCATACCCATCTACTTAATGATATTAAACATACATATATAAGTAGAGTATGGTGTTATGTTCTGTTGTACTACAAGAAAAGGGAATATGTAGATAACTTTTGTGAATAAATAACAAAAAAAAAACTCTTTAATCTAGAGGAAAAAATAATTGAACAGACATTGCAACATAGCTCGAAATCAAATCAGATAAATGGATTAGCGTCACAAACTTGACACGGAGTCCAAGCTAGAGCGTATAGACGAGCCGTTTTTGTAAACTACTCTTGCCCATTCGATAGTATTACTAAAAAGAATGGACAGTTTTTCAAATACATCAATACTTCATCGGGTTTAGACAGTGGGTAAAGTGACTGATGGCCACAAAAAACCCATATAAGCTATTTTCTCAAGAAAAAAAATTGTTTTGATGATTCAATACATAAATAAAATTATTTACATAATACTACATAACGGTAGATAGGAAAATTTGTGTGTGCTTATCACACTTTTGCCCTGAAATAGCTAGGTTATGATCTGATGTAACACACTTTAGTTACTATTAGTAATAAAAATTTGGCAATAGGTATCGCTGTCTATATAATACTGCACTTATATAGCAAAAAAATATATTTTCTGTGTAGTGAGCGTTATTCTGTTAAGTGTATTTTTTTTCTATACTTGCCTAAAGTATATGTACATTCATGTGAATTTCAATACATTTTATTTTTTATGGGATCACTAGCATTGCCCGCGGCTCCACCCACGTTCAGATGACCAAAAACCAAATTCTTAGGTTTTACATATTAGTATACTCTTACATTGCAGTTTTTGTGTTTCTTCTCAGAAATGAGATATTTTCCCGCAGTAAAAAGTATCCTATATGTTGACCTGGATAACCAGCTATCACCGTACCAAATTTCATCAAAATCCCTCCAGTGGTTTTTCCGTGATGCGGTAACAGGCAGATAGACAAATGGACAAAAATTCTAAAAACTATAGATTCGGCCTCTGTATCGATAATAATATCTATTTCATTAAGGATTTCCAAAAAATATTTAATGTACAGATTCGACTTAGTTAGAATTTTATTATATGTACCTATAGATAACAATACTTTCAATCACGCGACATTCCGAACCCGAGTCAACAATACCATTAATAACATAACTGTAGTAAGTAAATACTAATATATTCATATGTTACGCTATTGCTTACACATGGATATGCATGTACCAGTACTTTCTACGCTAACAATACATGTGAAATATTACTTTAAACGTTGTATATTAAATTAATTTATCAAAACGCCGGCTATAAGTGCTATGCATCTACACAGATGTGCTAAGATTTATACTTGTTTTAAAATTGTGGAATATTATACATATAATAAAATTGTAACTGAGCCGAATCTGTACATTAAATATTTTTTGGAAAATTTTATTGAAATAAACATTATTATCGATACAGAGGCCGAATCTAGTGTTTTTAGAATTTTTGTCTGTCTGTCTGTCTGTCTGTTACCGCATCACAGAAAAACCATTGGATGGATGTTGATGAAATTTGGTATGGTGATATCTGGTTATCCGGGTCAACATATAGGATACCTTTTAGCGCGGGAAAATGTCTCATTTCTGAGAAAAAATACAAAAACTGCAATGTAAGAGTATACTAATATGTAAAACCTAAGAATTTGGTTTTTGGTCATCTGAACGCGGGTGGAGCCGCGGGGAATGCTAGTAGAATATATAAAAATGAAACATAAATTGTAAACACTGACGCATCTCAATGTCAATTCACATGAAGAAATTCAGTAAATACGGTTACGTTTAATTCCAGTCCTTCTGCAGGCATCCGGGGCATTTAATCTCCGCCTCGCTATGGACTCCACAGCCTGCATTGAAACTTCGTGCCGACTGCGGCAAAATTGAAATAAAACTACGAACCAAACCAACCGTTAGAAAATCCCGCGTAGAAAACTTTTCATTAACTGCTAGGGAATTTTATTTTGACCCGAATACTCGTTTCAATTGGAACTGTTCTGTTATATAAACAAAAAACACTAAACGCACAAAACATTTTACATTTCAGTGACGGATATTGAATGAAGAGTATTGTTTTATATAAAACTAAACGGACTCGTGCAAAAAGAGTTTGTATTATTTATTTATTTAATGAGTACACAGTTGTTATTAAATTATTTAACATCTACAAATATAAATGTGTATCCAATAAAGTAAAATGCACTACTTATTGCTTAATTATTATTATTAACTAGCATTGCCCGCGGCTCCATCCGCGTTCAGATGACCAAAAACCAAATTCTTAGGTTTTACATATTAGTATACTCTTACATTAGTCTTTGTATTTTTTCTCAAAAATGAGATATTTTGCCGCGGCAAAAAGTATCCTATATTATGTTGACCTGAATAACCAGCTATCATTATATCAAATTTTATCAAAATACCTCCAGTTGTTTTTCCGTGATGCGATAACAGACATACAGACAGACAGACAAAAATTCTAAAAACCATAGATTCGGCCTCTGTATTGATAATAATGTTTATTTCAATAATATTTTCCAAAAAAAATATTTAATGTACAGATTCGGCTTAGTTACAATTTTATTCTCATATTATGTATATGTAGATGTATATATTACGACATACCATATATTTATCTTCGTTAGTATCTTTAATATCTTTATTAATTATTATTGATTCTTTCTACTTTATTGTACTGCGTTGATACAGAGAATTTTATAGAGTAAAAGGAAATTAGCTACAAAGGGTGAATATATATATTAATAAAATTAAACTCGTAATTAATCACGCAAAGCGCATTTGCCTGTAGGTATTAGCCTAGACTCTAGTCTACAAACTATCTCCTACTAAAAAAAAACTATGGAAACGTATTAGAAGTGAAACTTCTTTGGTTATTTATATTTCAAATCTGTATAATTAATAATTATTGATAATAATTATGATTCACAAAGAGAAGAGAATAATATTCTATCTCTTTCTATCCAGCTGGATTTTTACATCTATCTCATATATGTATATACTCTAAAGAACGATTGCCGCTAGTTATAAATAGTTTGCATATTTGAAAACAAATAAGTAAAAATAATAATCTTTGAGGATAGTAACGGAAAGAATATCATATACATCATTTATCAAACACGGTTATTATGGCAATCTAATGCAAGCGGTTACTATGGAAACGGTGAAAGTTTTTCGTGGCGATTTCTTGTGACCTTGAAATTTACTTTCATTCGCGCAAAGAAGTTTCACTTCAAAAATCTTATCAAAAATGACACTTTTGAATGAAAAAAAATGATTTAGTATTAAATATTAACGATGATCTTTATATATCAATTAGTGATTTTATTAGAACATAGAGAAATGAAGATAAAAATATAAATTCTGTTCAATACATACAAGAACAAGATTAAAATATCATGAACATTATCCTTATAACTTTCATCATTGTCTTTACATGTTAGATGTTATGTGGTTCGTGCTTGTAATTACTTTGCTTTCAGTTTTCAACCGACAAAGAGATTCTCAAGACCATCCACTATCTAGCTTTACGTAGCCACACGAGCTTCTCTGATGAATTTCTAAGAGAACGTGAATAAAACACTTATGTATCTTAAAAATCTTACTAATAAATCTGTATAAATATTATAAATGTGAAAGTTTGTAAGTATATATTTACCATTACAATCTACTAACTTCAGTAACTGTTAACAATTTGTCTATATATTGTAAATCTAGAGGAAGGAACCGGTGCTCGTAAGACAGGTTTTCTTAGTACGAGCTCCTAAGCACTCTTTCTGGATAATCTTATATTATGTCTTATATTATGTGTATATTTTTGTAACCTGATCTTTTGCTACAAATAAAGATTGTTATTATTATTATGTATGGATCTTTGTTACTCTTTCACGCCAGAACGGCTGAACGGATCTGGATGAAATTTGGCACAGAGACAGATTATAGTCTAGAATAATACATAGGCTAATTTTATCTCGGAAAAAGATAACATTCCCGAGGGATAGATTTGTTTTTGTTTTTCTAGAGGCGATGAACTAGCGGCGCAAAGCGAGGTGAGCCGCTAGTTTACAATATATATAATGAGTAATTTAGTAGTTTCTTACCAGAGCTTCAAACTTATGTTTTCAACCGACTTCAAAAAGGAGGAGGTTCTCAATTCGACTGTATTTTTTTTCATTTATTATTCATAGACTCTCGACGTGGTCGTTGAATGAAATCTACTTATGCTATTAAAACTTATAATAAGGTGTACTATAAAAATATTTCTTTCAACTCAAATAAATTCAGCCCCATTGATGTTTGATAGTCTCACTTCTATAATAAATGCGAAAATCTGTATAATCTATATTTGTTACTATGAATAAGTAGGTAAGCTAAAGGAGCTAAAACGGCTAAACGGACTTAGATGAAGTTTAATACAGATAGACTATGACGATGTAACTGTTAAAGTACCATATAATGTTTAGTATGCATAAAACGCAATATTATCTGTAAGTAATTATCTTTATAGTCTGTGACAATGATTAATCTATGACAATTTAATAATCTGCTCTCTCTCCTCTCTGAACCTCCGAAGTGTGCATGTCTAACAAATATATTTTAAATTATAATCTAATTTTATCTAAACGATCTGAAGTTATTGACGACCAATATGTATTTATTCAATTCTGTGTAATAATAAATTCATCATTGGAAGACTGCATATTATTTATCTCTTCTGGATATATGATCTACATCGCCTCTTAAAAGGTTATGGGCCCAGGGCCAGGGCCAGGGCTCCAGATCCACAAGTATACTGAGAAATATACGATCGATCGATACGCACTGCACGGAACATTACACTCTGATCTATCTACGTGAAGAAATCTTAATTATGGCATCCGATGGCGTGATTTCCCCTGCACGTGGCGATGGCGTCTCTCGTGTCAATTCGAGGACGTCTGTCCCTATGTTTCCTGCAATTGAGAAGCTGGAAGGCAGCAAGAACTACTTGGCGTGGAAATTTGCTATACGTATGGTCTTAATACTAGAAGGCTTGTGGGATTGTGTTACTGCGAATGTGGTCACAGACGCTGCGCGCGATCAACGTGCGCTGGCGCGCATAGCTTTAAGTGTTAAAACGAGCCTTTACCAGCATATTCGCAACGCAGCTACTGCTAAAGAAGCGTGGGATAGCCTTTCGGATATATTTGAAGATAAGGGACTATTGCGTCGTGTTTTACTGTTGCGTGAACTACACCGTACACGCTATACGGATTTCAACACATGAGTAAGTACATTGACAACACCTTCAACATAGTGCAACAGCTAGCCGATATTGGGCGAAAGATAGAAGATGAAGAAATAGCTGAATTGTTACTAAGCGGTCTACCTCAGGAATACGACTCGCTTGTGTCTAATCTGTCAACGTTCACATTAACAACAAGAATTTCTAGTGAAGTAGTGAGAACTCGCCTACTACAAGAAGATTTGCGGAGAAACAATTCTAATTCTCATAATATATCTGAAGCTGCTTATATTTCAAAACGCAAAGTGAAATGTGACTATTGTCATAAAGAAAATCATGTGAAAGCAAAATGTTTTAAGTTAAAGCGTGACAAAAAGTTAAAAAACAGTACTAATGTATGTATGGCAGCTGCATATCTCTCTAGGCATAGACAGGAAGATTGGTTTATAGACTCTGGGTGCACTGCACATATGTGCAATAAGAAGATTTCTTTGTGTCACTTAAGGCAACCTCATCAACAGTGTCAGTTGCTAACAATGAGACTATGATATGTGAAGGTGTCGGGACTGTGAATATTCAATGTAATCATAAGGTACTTATTCTTAATAATGTTTTGTATGTTCCTAAATTAACAACAAATTTGATTTCAGTGAGTAAGTTATTAGAATTAGATCTAAGAGTGGTGTTCAATTCGGGAGGTTGTTTTATATATGACAGTAATGATAAACTTATCAGTTCTGCTAGGAATTTAAATGGGATATTTAAATTGTATGGGTGTGTTAGAAATAGTAGGTATATACACAAAAAGGAGCATTCTTTGTTCCTTCATGATAAGAAGGACTCCCAGAGTGCCGCAGTTGCAGCTCATCAGCAGCCAAAGCTATTATGGCATCGAAGGTTGGGCCATCTCAGCTCTGGAGGTATGTATGCTCTTAGAGATAGGTTAGGACATGGTTGTATGTATCAGGCTGAAGAATCTCTACCGGATTGCGTTGCTTGCCTTGAAGGCAAGCTGACAACGAAGCCATTCCCCAAAAGTGGAGCCAGTCGTGCAGCCAAGGCTCTAGAGCTTGTACACTCTGATGTATGTGGGCCCATGCCGGTGAGCAGCTGGGGTGGTGCAAAATACATTCTTACACTGACCGATGATTATTCAAGGAAGAGCTGTGTATACCTGATGAAACAAAAATCTGAGGTATTTAGCCGATTCATTGAATTTAAAAATATGGTTGAAAAGCAGACTGGTTTATCAATTAAATGTCTTCGTAGTGACAATGGAACGGAGTATTTAAATTCAAACTTGTCTGGGTTTTTACGTAAACAGGGGATAGTTCATCAGCTTACAGTTCCTTACTGCCCTCAGCAGAATGCTGTATCATAACGTTTAAATCGTACCCTTATGGATAAAGTACGTTGCATGTTGCAACATTCTGGTCTTGACCAGCGGTTCTGGGGAGAAGCAGTGATGACTGCTGCTTATCTTAAAAATAGGTCTCCCACAGCTGCATTGGACGGCCAGATTCCAGAAGAGGTTTGGACTAGTTCTAAACTTGACCTTAGTCACCTCCGGGTATTTGGTTGTCAGGCTTATGCATTAGTACCACGGGTTAAGCGTACAAAGTTAGACCCTAGATGCAAACCTTACATTTTTGTTGGTTATTCAGAAACCACTAAGGGGTATAGGCTGGCTGATCCCTGTAGATGATCCCTATCTGATGATCCCTAGAAAGGTACTCTTGTCTCGTGATGTCACATTTATGGAGGAGAGATTCTTTAATTTTGGACATGACAATTCTAGTGATAATAATGAAATAATATTTTTTAATCCTTATTTATTACATAATAGTTTATCAAATGAAAATAATGTTAATAATGAATTGTCTAATGTTGATAAAAATAATTCAGTGGAGATTGATAGTTTTAATAATATTAATTCCTGTGTTTTCAAAGATTCGTGGGATACTGGCAGCGAGCACAACTCCTCTGTCGAGTGTTCGGTGAATGATGACGTAGGAGGTGTCTCTGTTACGTCACAACGCGCGACGTTGACTGGAGGGGAAGGTGTGCCTGTAGCTTCACGCCCAATACGTAGTACACGTTTGGTTCCGCCTAAAAGGTATGACGACTATGATCTGTCTATGTTTGTAAGGGATGTTTTGGTCGACGAGCCACAGTCGTATCGAGAGGCTATGGATAGTCCTTACTGCGATGACTGGATGCAGGCTATGAAGCGTGAGTATAGCTCTATGATAGAGAACAATGTATGGACCCTTGTAGAGCGGCCTAAACACTCCAATGTAGTAAAATGCAAATGGGTGTATAAGGTAAAGTGTGATGCTTCAGGAAATTTTCAGCAATTTAAGGCTAGATTAGTAGCAAGGGGCTTTACACAAAAGAAGGGGTAGATTATACAGATACATTTTCCCCAGTTGTACGCCACTCTACCATGAGATTATTATTTAGTTTGGCTAATGAATATGACTTAAATATTGACCATATTGATGTAAATACAGCTTTTCTAAATGGCACCCTTAGTGAAACTATTTTTATGGAGCAGCCCGAAGGTTTTGCTGATAATACAAATAAAGATAGGGTTTGTCTTTGAACAAATGTATTTATGGATTGAAACAAGCTAGTAGAATGTGGTATTGTAAAGTTAATGACTTGTTGACTAAAAATAATTTTGTACAAAGTAAATGTGAACCATGTGTATTTTATTTACGGGCTGAAAAAGAAATTGTTATTATAGCATTGTATGTTGATGACTTTTACCTAATTTATAATAAGGACAGCTATAATATTAAGGTTTTATTGAGATTACTAGAGCAGGAATTCAGTATCAAAAACCTAGGTCCTATTCAGAACTATCTCGGAATTAGAATCAGTAGAGATAGAGAAAAAGGTGTACTTAAGCTAGACCAGTCAGTTTATATTAGGAAAATACTGAAAAGGTTTGGTATGTCAGACTGCAAACCAGTTTCGACTCCTATGCAATCAGGATTTAAGTTATGTAAATCAGATGATACTTTAAGTGATGATGTATATAACTATAGACAACTTTTAGGTTGTTTGATGTATCTTTCAGTTTGTACTCGTCCTGATATTGCTTACACCTGTAGTCAGTTAAGCCAGTATAATAACTGTTTTGGTAAATGTCATTGGTCAGCTGCTAAGAGGTTTTAAGGTATCTAGCGGGTACAATTGACTATGGTTTACTTTATGTAAAAAGTAATCAATTGGTGTTGAGTGCTTATACCGATGCGGATTGGGCCAATGATTGTATTGATCGTAGGTCATATACAGGATTTGCAATAAAACTAGGGAATAATGTTGTAAACTGGGAGTCTCGAAAACAAAAGTGTATAGCACTCTCTAGTACAGAGGCTGAATATTTAGCCATAAGCGATGTTTGTAAAGACTTAAGTTTTATTACTAATTTTTTGGTAGAAGTTTTTGCTAATTTAAAATTGGACTGTATTACTGTGTACAATGACAATCAAAGTGCGCATAGATTATTAGAGTGCAAAGAATACTGTCACAAACGTACTAAACACATTGACGTGCGTTATCATTATGTAAAGGACCTAGTAAATAGCAAATTTGTGATTGTTAAGTATTTGTCTACTGATCAGATGATTGCTGACGTGTTGACTAAACCTTTAGACAAGAAAAAGCATAACTTTTTTACTTATGAACTATGTGTTAGACATGTTATTATATAAGTATTTTCTATTGTAAAGTTATGAAATGTAGTCGTTTTTTTATGTAACGTCAGAGCTGTTTGCGTTATATGCATAAGGGGAAGTGTTAAAGTACCATATAATGTTTAGTATGCATAAAACGCAATATTATCTGTAAGTAATTATCTTTATAGTCTGTGACAATGATTAATCTATGACAATTTAATAATCTGCTCTCTCTCCTCTCTGAACCTCCGAAGTGTGCATGTCTAACAAATATATTATAAATTATAATCTAATTTTATCTAAACGATCTGAAGTTATTGACGACCAATATGTATTTATTCAATTCTGTGTAATAATAAATTCATCATTGGAAGACTGCATATTATTTATCTCTTCTGGATATATGATCTACATCGCCTCTTAAAAGTAACACATGACTACTGTTAGTAATATATGCCAAAACTTGGTGCTATGAATAAATTCAAAATAAGTTGCTGTAAAATATGTATGTATAAATAAGATTTCTGTATTATAATGTGTAATATAACTTACGCCGGTTCCTTTATGTTATGAGTTATTTGACAAAAAAACACACCATATTAGATTAGGCAATTACAGCGATCGTAATAAAACTGAAATTTATTATTACATTACGATGAATACAAAAACGCGTCCTCACCCCCATTCTTTTGACGGGCAAACCGCATAAATTCATTCCGTATTCATTTAATATGAAACTTTTCCTTTTGTAATTCATTTGAGCCTTTGCATTTCCTTTCTGGTAAACGTGAAAATTAATATATTTTAGGAGGGATTGTGTGTATGATGCAAAAGCATGTTATTAATCTTAAATCTTGACGTAAATAATAGTATTATACTTTGGTAAAATAACTCAGTTGTCTTTCTCGCTTGATAAATTCTTGCCAACAACAAAATGGCATATTCATTGAGTCAAATTTATGACTACAGATAAATATAAATATTAAATCCAATGAAAAAGGGCGCATTTATATGAATCTTTATATGTTATTTTTAAAACTTACGAAAATAAGAGAAGACAGTTGTCCTAAAATAATAAACATGTCACATGACTTTCCTGAATAAAATTTATACTCCGATTTACGAATACGAGGATAAAGGTTCTAACCATGCACGCATTATCATCCAGCTAAGAGCCGTATGTATTATATAAAACTCACTATGAGAATTCGACTTAAACATCTGCTCTGATCAACCGATTAAAATGAAATTCAGCTTTAGTTTTAACATTCTGTAAATAAAAAATATTTATTATCTTTGACCGTTTTTTTTTAAAAACAGAGTAGCGATCTTTTTTTAGCCATCCCACCGATCACCTCGATTTTTGATTTCAATTTCAGTCATATTATAAATAGACTTCACAGAAGAAACAGATTAAATTCATAATAAAAAAGGACTATATAATATAACTAGCATTGCCCGCGGCTCCGCCCGCGTTCAGATGACCAAAAACCAAATTCTTAGGTTTTACATATTAGTATACTCTTACATTGCAGTTTTTGTACTTTTTCTCAGAAATAAGACATTTTCCTGCGGTAAAAAGTATCCTATATATATATTGACCCGGATAACCAGCTATCACCATACCACATTTCATCAAAATACCTCCAGTGGTTTTTCTGCGATGCGGTAACAGACAGACAAAAATTCTAAAAACTATAGATTCGGCCTCTGTATCGATAATAATGTAAATTTCAATAAGATTTTTCAAAAAATATTTAATGTACAGATTCGGCTTAGTTACAATTTTATTATATGTATAGATATATTATAAACGCAAAAAATAATAAGATAAGGAACTAACTAGGCATCTGCGCTCTATTTGTTAGCTGTGCTCGAGTATTTAATTAACGACTGTTGTCATCCGGTTGTTGGCAGATTAATATTTCTTTTTATACAACCAAAGCTACTCGCTACAAAAGCACACTCATAGAATTTGGGATTAAAGTACAATTCAGACACATCAGACAAAAGACAAATCAGAATATTTGTGTGTTTTTATCTACAATTTACTTAAAATTCTTGCTGATGCTCATGTAATAGGATTCGATTTTCACAAATATTAATAAAAATATGTGATGATGTTCTCCTGACCGATTCCGGCCACGGCGGCCAATCTCATTGAGACTAGCCAACTGCGCAGGAGATATTATAGTGCACAAGGGTACGCGCAGACACAACGTGCACTCTCAATTCCTGTCACTCTCATACTTCGATGGGACGACTACTCGACATGACCGGTGAGAGATAAGGCGCAGGACCGACGGCTTTACATGCTCTCCGAGGCACGGGGGTGAAACACCGCCAACTTCCCAACTCCGCGCTGTTACTGAGGCTCACTATACAGACAGACTCAATAACTAAACTTGGCCCGACCCGGGACTCGAACCCAGGACCTCCGAGTGTGCAGCCATACATGCTAGCCGCTACACTACCGAGGCAGTTATAAAAAATATGTATTGATCATACAAATATATTCTAGTCTAGTTAAGCTAAACGATAAGAATCTCCACCCAATAATTATTTTCTTAATAACAAACAATAGCGTCTTAGAATTTTCTCATTCTACAAACACAATGCGCAGGTTTGGCATTATTACAGATTATATTTATAGGAAAATATAACTAAATATGTTGGTATATTAACACACACCACCATAGTTCCATGCTAAGCTATGAGGCTTGTGTTATGGATACTAGATGGATAATACACTACACACACACACCCATCTTTAAATTCATACATATTATAAATATAAACACCCATAAGTGAAGTACAAACATTCGTGCTCATCATACAAATGAGTGTCTCGAGCGGGACTCGAACCCGCGATCGTAGGCACAGCAAGTAGGATCAACACAAACTGAGTCAAACGTGTCGTCGGTCAGTAATATGAAATTATTTGATACGGCTACCTTTTGAAATAAACAATTACAACTAAACACCTTGATACAGATTACAGCTTAATGTCAAAATATAAAAAACTTTTTAACAAAAAAATAAAAACCGACTTCAAACAAAAGCACTAAAAAGTAAAAAATAACTGATTGGTAGTTTTCATTTACTATACATACTTAATCAAATATTTTCGAAGTCGGTGTGCTTTGCTTTGTATGGGCTGGCACCGATTTCGAAAATATTTGATTAGGTATGTATTTAATAGGTAGGCTTTAATTACTTAGCCAAAGCACACCGACTTCGAAAATATTTGATTTAGTATGTATAGTAAATGAAAACTACCAATCAGTTATTTTTTACTTTTTAGTGCTTTTG